CTCTGGTAGAGTCTGTGGGCTTTAGGATAAACTCAGCTGAAGAACCAGCTCTGTGGGTAAAGAAGCTGCAGAAGCTCTTCTCTTGTCTAACTTTAGAGGAAAGGAGAGCCAGAGGGACAATTGTCTCAAATGACAATGGGGAGGGGGCAGGCAATTTCTGTAGGAAGCCCCTCCCCCAGGGGTCCTGGCACTTTAGTTCACTGGATGAAAATGGCCAGACTGAGGCCTGCTGAATAATGCTTTGGCTCATTTGCTGAGTGGGGTGTGTCAGAGGCCCTTCCTATGCACCATGCACGGGCAGTGGAGAGAGGTGGTTACCTCAAAACGCTGCTTCCCAAGGGCAGGGGTGGCCATCAGCGGCTCTGAATGCAGAATGGCAGCTTCACAAGGTCTATCTCCAACAAAGGTTAGCAGAATTGTGGGGCTGGCAGCTTCACAAGGTCTATCTCCAACAAAGGTTAGCAGAATTGTGGGGCAGGGGAGGGGCCTCAACCACCACCAGTGGGTCCCTGGTCTGATGTGGTTGAAGGAGGACCATATTCCATGAGGAACAAGCCTGTCAGCGCATGCCAGGCTTTGAGGTCAAAGAAAACGGCACAGTTTAGGATTGCTGTTGTTAGGTGCTGTCGAGTACACCTCACAGCGATCCCCTTAGATCCATTAGAATCACTGACCTCAACTCTGTCCTGTCCTGTGCCATCCTCAATCACTGGCACACTCAAGCCCATTGCTGCAGTCGCTATGTCAATCCACACGGTTGAGGGTCTTCCTTTCTTTTCACTGCCCCTCCACCTTCACAAGCATGATGTCCCTCTCCAAGGCACAACTCCTAGCAACATGCCCAAAGTGAGACAAAGCCTCATCGGCTTTGCCTCCAAGGAGCACTCTGGCTGCACCCTCTCCAAGAATTACCTGCTTGTTCTTTTGGCCGTCCATGGGATCTTCAGCACTCTTCTCCAACACCACAGCTCAAAGGCATCAATTCATCTGCCATCCTTACTCACTGTCCAGCTCTCATAGCAAGAGACTGAAAAGCCCACAGCCTGACGGGGGTGCACATTAAGTCTTCAAACTGACATCACTACTCCTTAATAATCTGGAGAGGTTCCAGACTGGATTTTCCCAGTGTTCAGAGTTGCTCATCGCTACTGGTCAACTTGACAGCACCTGTCACACCACCATTTTCCTGTTTAGACTTCAGCTATTTAATGATAGAGCCAGGTTATAATATACATACTTGTGTTCCTCAATTTTGCAGGATGAAACATTATGCAAAAGCTCATCAATATCCAAACAAGAGGGGGGAAAAAAATAAGGAAAAAAAAAATCCAAACAAGACCTACTGTCCTTGAGCTGGTTTGATTCTGACCTGTAGTGACCCTACAAAACAGAGAACTTACTGTCCTATATGGTAACCAAGGCTGTTATCTTTACAGACGCCTCTTTTTCCCTTGAAAAGCTTCTAAGTTTGAAGCAACCTTTTAATTAGTAGCTGAACGGATACTCACCATGCCAGTGGGGCTCCTAAAATATGAATTATTGTTGCTAGGTGTTGTCCAGTCACAACTCAGTGTCCCCCATGTTCAAAAAAATTCAAACAGCTCCCCGTCCTGCGCCATGTGGGTCCACAGTCGAAGCTGCTATCAGTCCATCTCCAGGGTCATCTTCTTTCCATTCATTCTCTCAAATACGGATGTCCTTATCTTGAATGCGCCTCTTTGATGGCATTTCCCACGGCTGTGCGGTGAAGTCTTGCTGTCCCTTCACTTAGGGCACATTCTAGCTACACTTTTTCCAAAACAGATTTGCTCATTCTTCTGAAAGTTCATGGAAGTCAGTATATTTTTTTTTTGCCAACAGTGTAATTTGAATATATCTCAAGTCTTCCTTATTTATTTGGCTTTTACATGGATTTGAAGCAGCTGAAAATGCCGCACCTTGTGTCAGACGGATTGAGGTCCTAAAAGGGAACACCTCTGCCTAATTTACTGTGTCATTTTGTCTGTGTGATCATGAAGAGGTGTTCTGGTGGCACAGTCTATAGGGGCCGCTAACCCCAAGGCAGCCATCAAATAGGGCACGTAAGACATCAAAGATAGTACTATCCAGTGAAATGCGTTGTGGCTAAGAACAAAGCAGACCCAGTTATTATGAAATAGACTCAGATACCCCAGGTGGGAGAGAGCAGAGTGGGTGTGCTTGTCCTCAGGACACACTCTCCCTTGGCGGGGTCAGGGGGCAAACCAACGTGGATCAGAGGTGGAAGGACACCTGCTCTGCATGGCTTAACCTTGCGTTTGGGTGAGAAGTCAACTTGTTTGGCATGGTCTAACCTTTGTACACGTTTGGATTTTCACTGCATATATGCGGCACTTTTCTGGAGTACAATGTGTTTCAGAAAATCATTCATATGCAGTTTCATTTATGTACACTGAGCTTCATACTCTCATTCATGTATTTTTATATCATTACAATTGATCTACACCTTTTGTCACCTTGACTCACCATATTTCCATTGTGCCTCCCCTATGCCTTCAAACCAACTCTGCTGTCCTGGTATTTTCCCACTTCGTCCTCACCCCTGGCCCTTTTCTAAGTTACATAGATCTTGTTGCTATTTGCTAATTACGGTAGCCTTACTGTCTCAATCTCGAGTCTTCTCAAGCTGATCCTCTTGCCCTGGTCCTTTAGAGTGTTCACGGAGTCCTTTATTGTAGAACAAGTATGAGGACCCAAGGGGGGGCTTACATAGGGCCACACAATTTGATGGGTACAAGGAGGGATGGGTAAACAAAAGGGGAACAACCCAGCCGTGAAAAACAATGGATACAAATTTTATGAACTTTATATGTAAACCAGTATAAAATAAATTAAAAAAGAAAGGAGTCCCCATTCATGCAGTTCCTTAAATACAATGGTCCCTGGACCCATTCACTTTCTTGAGCCTTCTACTAGGAACCTGCCACAGAACAGACAGACCACCCCCTCTGGGTCCTCACGGGAGGTGTGTACTGGGGAGGCCTGTAGGCACTGTGCCCCAGGAGCAGGTTCTCCCTGGGAAACCAGCTGCACTGCTCCCCCACCCCCACCCCACACACAGCGCACAGTGGGGAACAGCCAGAGCCAGAGCCAGAGATTTAAGACTCAGTGTTTCAATTTCTGTGGAGATTAAGGGGAGTTAAACGGAAAAAAACTAAGAGATGGCAAAGCAATTTGAGACAGAGCCACAGTGACAGGCATTTAAACTATAATGATAAAAAGAATGGAGGAGGAAGTACTGGATTTTGATGAGAGAAGAAAACAGACAGTTCAGGTCTCTCACTGGTAAATGTTTATAGTATTGCATTTTGATACAGGCGTGTAAATAAAAAAGATTGCACTACCCTCTGATAGTACTTCTTTTAGAGTAAAACAATTTCCTTTTAGATTAAAGCATTAAGTTTCAGAATAAAAATGGACCACATGCTACCTGGTGTGAACAAGGAGTGCTGACTGGGATGGGAGTAACTGGTTCAAGAAATCCCAAGATTTGGAGAAGCATCTTCCATGGGCAAAGGCCAAGGCTGGAGTGTTATTTGCCAACAAGTCCCAGGTCTCCAAGTCCTGGCTGCTTCTGGCCATGTGCATGAGTAGGGAAGAGCCTTCAAGTCCAGTGTGGCCTGCTTCCCTCACCAGTGCTACCAATCCTGCAGACTTCAGAGGGCTGGCTTGGTGGGTAATGCCAGAAAAACACCAAAAAGAGATGTGGATCGGAGACCGATGGTGCAAAGTCATAGTTCTTATGCCTTCAGAAAATCCAGAGGGCCCCCAAAGAACTGGGGGGTAGCTGAAGCAGAATTCTTCCCCTGGCCACTAAATAACGAACTTTGTGATTGTTGCCTTTGTCTTCGGCCCTGAGAAAACTGGCTGAGGGAGAATGGTATGGGGTGCCGGTGAAACAGAGACAGCAAGCCCTAGAGATGAAATGGTATGCTTCCTACAGCCACACTCCCAGGCCAACATGCTCCCTACTCGGTCCTAGAGTATCAACCATGAGTGAGGAGAGGGAAGGGCCAGGGCAGGGGAAACACAGGAGGAGAAGCAGGAGCAGGCATTCCTGAAGAGCCTGCACTATCTGAGGCAGCAGCCCCCCTCTCCCAGACCCACCTCACACACAGACAGAGGCCTGGACCATCCAGCACCCAGCACCCATAGAAGGCCCCTTCCTAAAAGGAATCCTTTGGAATTCAAATATTTGGTGTGTTAGCCAGGTCAGAGATTGGACCAGAGCCAGGATGTGTCTTCTACTCAACATTATCAGGGTGGAGAACGTCACTGTCCAGGGTCAAAACAACAAATCCCTATTTTAGAGAAGTCGGGTGGTGGAGAGAGGAAGATCTGTCTTCCTGGAGCTGTTCTGGAGACAAAGGTATGGTCCAGATGGGACGCTGACATCCCTGAGAGGGGCCTGGGGTGGTGAGAGAAGCCTGTAATGCCAAAGCTCTTCCCGAGACACAGCCTCTTGAGGGTCCCCGACCTGGGCCCACAGTGGAAGCAGCCCTCCTGGGGGGGAGGAGGGCGTCTCTCCATCTCACATCCAACCCTCAGATGCCAACACTGCTCGTCCTTCAGGACAAAAACTAGCTCTTCCTAGAGATTCTCCGGCTGTCGGATGGCCCTGGGCACTCGCTGTCTTTATGAGGGGCCAGGAGCTGAGAGAAGTGCCTCGGGTTTGGCATCCTGGTGTGTGTGATCAAGATCAAAAAACCCCGTCCTTTGTCAGAGTCACAACAAAGTGTATGGTCTCACAGCAGGCACAACATCTTGTTTCTTTCAAAAAAGAAATATTTATCAACTTAGAGAGGCAGATTTGAAGAAGGTGGAGTATTTTTCCCTCCAAAAGCACAAATGTCCCATGTAAGTGAAACCAAGGTTATGTCCACCAATTCATGAACAGAACACTATGCCCCTCAGAGGTGCTGCCTCAAAGGGCAGGTGTGGCAGGTCTGCTACTGTGTCCCTTAGTCCCCCTTGGTGATGAGGTCCTCAATGTAGGCATCCAGTTCATCGTCCGTGTTGATATCTATGTCCTGCAACAAAGGGCAAGAGTCAGACAAGAGCCGGGGACACTTGGGCGTCTGTTCTCAACAGTATCTTCCCTCCACCCAGGGGCTAAAGACAAAGCTAGAAGAGTGACTGGAGTCTCTGCTTTGTATCAGGCATTAGAAATCTGCCTGTTTCCTTCTCATCTCATGTCACCACCCAAGTATGTAACTATAAGTGCCTCTTCACTTAGATCTCAAACTTACTCCAACAGAGGGAAGGTCTCAAGACTGCAAGCTGGTTCCTGTCGCACACTGTCACCTCTCATTGTTCTTCAGATCGAATCACAACTCCAACAGGCCCTGTCCTGGCTCTTGGGCTCTCCTCTCTCACCCACCGGCCCTCACCTCGGGCCTCTGATCTCAACCTGCATGTCACCTCAGAGAGGCTCTGAGAGGCAGAGGGGCCTGCTCTAGTACCTGCTACCATGGTAACATCATCTGTTCCAAGAAATTCTCAACTTGGAGTGGACCTCGTCTGGGCTGTCATGCTCACCCCATAGCCATAGGGTACAGATGAGGCCATGGTGATGACTAGATGAGGGATCTGCCTAGAGACCCTATGGGGCGCCTATCCCCTCTTCCTGGGAGGCCCAGCCTCATCTTAGCATTATCTGAAGACAGACCTTCTGTTTTATAGCCTGGCGGATTCTCAAACCAGGCTATATAGTACACTGCCTAAACATGGGCAGAAATAGGTTTCTAAGGATCTGGCTGAGGTTGAGGGTGAGGCTGGGGCTCCCCGCCCTTCCTCTCTAGCTCCATCCTCCACGCGCAGGTTGCCTCGCTCACCTCCTGCACCTTCTGGAGGAGCGCCACGATGTTGGTCCTCAGCTTCTGCAGCTTCTCCTCTGTTTCACGGAGCTTCCTCTCGGAGTTGCGCAGGTTCTCCTCCGAAGCCTTGGCCCTCGAGTCGGCACGGCTCTGGTAAGAGTGGCACAGATTCTGGAGCCCCACTTCATACTGCTTGAAGTACTCCTTCTGTTGGGAAAAATGCTGGCCAGTGAGTGGGGGGGGAGGTTAACCAGAGCATCGCACAATTTGTTGGGTGGAGAGAGGTGTTGATAAAGGAAATTGGAAAGATGTGTGAAAACCAATGTATACAACCTTTGTAAATAAACCAGTATTTTTAAAACAAGCAAGCAAACAAACAAACACTCCCTTGGGACATGTGTTAACACTAATCACATCAAAACTGTGGAAGAAATCTCTTTCCTAGAAATTCCATTTTGAGGGATTTCTGAAAACATGTAAATTGACACAGGCTGAGGTAGATAATCTGAACAGAAGAGTCTGAACAGATCTTAAAACGCCTTTCCAAAACAACAGCAAAAAGTCCCAGCCTATACAGCGTCACTGGAGAATTCTCCCACACAAACCCTTATGGCGAGGCACCACCTTGCTCTAGCAACAGTCCTGTTGTTAGGTACCATTGCATCATGGTGACCCTGTGAGCAATATGGAACCACAGGTCTGAACCTGGCCCTTTTTCTTGTACCCTCTGGTGTACTTGAACCCACCGTTAGAGGCACTGTGGTGATAATAGCAAAGTTTACTAAGACAGAGAACAATAAATGCTAGTTGAGTGTGTGGAGAGACTGGAACTCACACACATTGCTGGTGGGACTGTGGAAATACGGTGCAGCCACTGGGTAAAACAGCAGGGTACCTTTCTACCTTCAACCCCATTTACATGACAACAGCTGCTCTCAGGGACAGTGTCCAACATTATAGAGGAAATAAACGATTCATGAAATGCATGAAGAAAAAAATTAACATAAGTAAGAATAAGAGTATGTATGCTTTAAGGAGCTGAATGAACAGTTTTCACCAATGCAACCTTGACTGCAGATAATTAGTTTGCTGTCTTCCGGATGATGGAACATTTAATGTTTGTATTATGGCATTAAAGCTCTCCACTGCACCATGAGAACTGTTCTAGTAACTAGTATCTGTGAGCACAAAACTTGGTAGTATTTTTCAAAACCGATCCTTGGGCAAAAGTTTGAGTACTGAGAAATACCTAACACAGTGACTAGATACTCTGCACAACATTAGAGTTAATATTCTTACTGTGCAAGAGAAATAAGGGAGCTCTTGTGGCCTTCTGTAAGAAGCTGTGCTGCCAAAGCAAAGGTGGGTGGTTTGAAACCATCAAGTGCTCAATGGAAGGAAAGATGCCAGTTCACACAGCATCCAAATCACATAATGTCCTATTTCACCTAATCACATAATTATTTCAAAATAACTATTTCAGAACATATCATGGATCTTAAGATATGCATGACCATCATTGTTTTGTGTGTGAAGTTGTTTTAGCTTTCTGAGATACTATAGAACCATGTGAATTGGTTTCATTAATTTTCACACACATATAAGGAAGCTGGTGATTAAGTGGGAAGGAGGTGCACTGCGGTTTGAACCACCAGGAGAAAAATGGGCAATCACCTCCTGTGTGAGTTACAGTCTCTGAAACCTTGCTAGAGGGTTCCAAACATGAGACAGTTCTGCATTGACAGCACCTAACAAACATTCAACAACACACATATAATTTCACAATGACATGAGAATCTACTATTTGGAAGGATGCTTGAGAGTGTACAGAATTTCTGGTGTCTGGCACAACAGAAAAAGGAAAAACATTTAGCAACTGACGTGGACATACCCTGACGCTAAAATAACAACTGGAGTTGTTTTAGACGCTACAATTAGAAGGATAAAGTTGATGCACTGGTATTATACCTTTTTTTCTACACCCCCACCCCCCCGAATCTGGCAACTATTTTTAACTTCAGACGCTCGTGCTATTTGTGGGTGGCTGGTCAAGGCCCCTGCAGAGTTCTTGCTTGCAACCAGCTGGTACTCTGGGCTGGGCAACAACTGTGAGCCAAAAGCAACAAACCTGACTGAGAAGATAGTGGGCAGACCAGCCCTCCTATCAGCTGTCTGTGCCTTCTGGGACCTACAAAGACCTCTTACGCCTAAATAAGGGTGAAAGTTGAGGAGTGGCATTTCCTGAGAGGTACCCTGCTGAGTTCTGCCTTCTCGCTCCCTAGTCATGCCAAGAAAGGAAGAATAAGGAGGCACCAGGAGAAGAGCCTTGGTCTGTCTTGAGAAGTACCTGGGCTCCATCACTGCCAAAAAAGACTCTTTTCACCTCAGTCTTTCATTCTTAAATGCCGAATGCTCAGAGCACTCTGGCAACCTTGTGCAAAGCTCCTGTGCACACGTCTGCTACGAGAGCGCGACATCCTGAACATACTGATCCTGCTGTTTCTATTACAGTTCTCTGCTCTGCTCTAGAAATTGGTCCTGGGAAATGCAGTTATTCTCAGACCCCACCCCCTCCTCCCTTCTCCCTCCCCACTGGTTCATAATCACCACCAGAAAAGCACAGCTGGTGCTTCTGGGGCATCCCCATCAAATCTCAACTCATCATCTTTTCTTTCCTCACTCTGTTTTCTTTCCCAGGTAAGTGATTCAGCATCAACCTCCAATATTCAGAGGCCTCAGCAATCTGAAGCACATGCCCAGTGTTTCTTTCCATCACAGGTCAATAATCAACAAGCCTGTGCCATCTGAACTCAGTTTTACACTGGCGTGGCCCCCTTGGGCCCCTGCTCCCCAGGACCTTTTACAACTGGGCCAGCCTCCTTCCTTCTGCATATCCCATCCACTGGACAGGCTGCTACCCAAGTTATAAATGACAACTCTGAGGCCATAGTCATCTACTGCCTGCTTTGTAAATAAAGATCTGATGAAACATGACCACACTCATTCTTTTGGGTATTAATTTAAGACAGTCCTTGAATTTTACTGGCCGAGTTAGTAATGGCATGGGAGGCCATAAATAGAAAATCCACACTAGTCTGTCTGCTGACCCTGTCCCAGGACATGGTTTGGCTTACCAATTCTCTTACTCAGCACCACTGACCCCCTCTCACACAGAATGGAGGCTTCTGGGCCTTAGACCAGGCTTTTGAATACAGCACGTCCTGCTCTCAGGCCCCTTCTGCCCTAAGTACTCTACACACAGTCTGCTGCCTTGGCCTCTGTCCTTTAGTTCCCATGGGCTTTGGCCCACAGAAGTCCCATGCTTCAAACACTCCCCCTTCAATCACACCCGGAACCAGTGTGTTCCTCCTTGGACAGAGCTGTGTCCTTTCCCTCCAAAGGCTGCCTCAGTCTCTTTCTCTTTCCTATCATTCACTGGTCTCCAGCCTTATGTGGCAAAGCAACACACTTTGGTCACTCACAAGGCCCGGCAGAGGGTTTGCTGGGAGAGTTATCAATCATTTGCACATACTGTGGGCATATCTGTAACTCCCTCGGAGGCAGTTTTAGGCACTTCAAGTCTAACCTCTTTACTGTGCCTGCAGGAAATTGTCAAACCAGATCTGTTGTCCCCAACTGAGGACTCAGCTCCTGGACACTGAGTGGAACAGGCTTTCTGCATACCAGTCAGACTCAGGTAAGCAACATCCTTCTCACACAAAGTCTCCTTCCCTGTCCCTCTCAGACGATGGCTAGAAATGGCAGATGTTGGGACAGAAAAGGGCAGCTGTCTGTTGCGGGTGGGCATGCAGCGACCACAAGCACCAAGGAATACAGAATGCAAAGTCAAAGGTAAGGAAGGTGACACTCACCAGAGGAAATGATATCAGCTCATCAGAATTCATAGAACTCAGCTCCTTCTTTGTGATGGGGAAACTTGGGGGCAGGAAATAACGTAAACAATTCCTAAACAGAAGAAGGCAGGATCAGGATTTGGGAATGGCTCTAAGGAGGATGAAGAGCTGTGGCTGGCCTCAGGAAGGCTGGCACACCCACCGGAGTATCTGGACGAGCAGGTCGATGGTCTCGTGATTGGTGCCGGGGGCAGTGGTATCTGGCTCAATGCGGATGCAGTCAGAAGTGGAGGGCTCGGCCATGGCTACAGCCTTCGGGGTGATGGCCACCACATCCTCCTCCTCCCCACCTGCCTGCTGCGTGTCAGGACTCTGATACTCTGGAGAAGGGGGCTTCATGAGTCGCACGTCCTCACTACCCTTCTCAACCCTGCGGAGGATACAGCACGTCAATCACGCGGGACTCCCAGGAGAGGCTGCTGGCAGGTGGTGAGGAGACCGCCCATCCCTCCCCTCTCCCTGCCCTGGTTCTCCTCCACCACCCTGTCGTTCCGCCCCGAGAGGACGCATTACCAGCGGTCTCGGGGTGTTGTGTCTGTGGGCACGTAGTCGAACTTCACCTTCCACCGCACCACGTGCTTGCCCACCTCCACGGCTGTGACACGGCCTGTGTACCACTCTCTGTTCACACGGACCTCCACATGCAGTCCTTTATCTGAGGATGGGCAAAGGTGCCAGTCAGGAAGTGGACCCAGAGCCCCTCTCAGCAGGGGCCACCTTGAGAAAAGCAGCCAAAGGGCAGGGAAGGAAAAGAACCCCTAGATGTTTGCTCTCATTATGTGAAGAACATGGAGCCGACCCAGACCTCCCTCCCCAACTGTCAGAGGGACCAACAGAGGGGGTTAAGTGACTGCCTGAGGCAGGTGCCAAGAGGTTGATACTAGACATAAACACTAGAGTGCAGTATCTGGAGTATTCTTCTTAAATCCTGCAGCACAATATCTAGATCCAGAAACACTCTGGAAGCTTCAAGATAGAGAGACCTATTTGTCTCGGGCTGCCCTTCTCCCACAGGCTGCCAAGGACCACTCCCAGCCCACCTTTCTGAGCTCGTCTGAGGTCAGCCGGGTCCTCCTCCCCAGTGCTGTCTGAGAGCTGCAATGAGAACAGAGTGTTAAGAGGATTCCCCTCTGGCTGCTCCAGGTCCTGAAGCCATCACAACTGTGTCTTCCTTTTTTTGTGTGGTGTTTTTCAAAGCAAAATTTGTATTTTATACTGCTGTTTTTCTTTTTTCCTTAGAAAGTTGATATACATTGTTTTTTACACCAGATCTTTCCCATTTCCTTTACCCACCCCTTCCCTCCATCTAATTGTGCGACCTTATAATCAACCCCCTCCCCAGCCCATCCTCTTCCCTCTCCCACAATTGAATCCTCATACACATTCAACAATAATGGTCTTATATAGTATTTGTCCTTAAGGGACTGAGTTAACAACTATGCCTTCTTCTGCTATAGTTTCAATCACTATAGCATGCAAGAAGTAGTTTTCTAAAATTATTACCCTTAGTATTTCTCTTTTGGTCACCTTTCAAAATAAGACATCAGGCAAGAGACAAAAAAATGCTTCAAGCCCTTAATCCATCCATGCATATGCACTAGTCACTCATCATAGTGGTTGTTAGCTGCTAGCAAGCTGACTATGGCTTGCTTGTAGGAAACAGACTGAAACCTTTCCCTACTCTGTACCAGATTCACAATCTCCTCTACACTCAAGCCCACTGTTGCAGTTACCGTGTCAATCTCTTATTACTGGGGGTCTTCCTCTCTTTTGCTGACCCTCTACTATTTCAAAGGACTCTCATTTCTTGGTGGCTGCTAAAATAGGTTTTGTGGGTCAGAGTAAAATGAAATCATAACAACTTTAACTTTAATCTTTTATTCATCCTTCATGTTCTTGTTTGCTTACTGGTCAGGTTGTGAGAATTATTAGTTTGTCAATATGGAAGTATAATCCATATTGAAGGCTCTGATCTTCAATAGTAAATGTTTTAATTCTCCTTCACGTTGCGTAAACAAAATTATGTCACCTGCATAAAACAGGCTGATGAGTCTTCCTTTACTCTCGATGCTATATTCTTCTTCCAAAAATCCAGCTTCTCTATTTTTGCTCAGCATCGTGTTGTTATGTGCTGTCGAGTCACCTGCGACTCATAATGACCCTGTGTAAAACAGCCCTAAACCCTGCTCTATCCTGTGCCAATCTTACTGTCTCTGACACACTTAGCCCATTACCCCAGTCACTGAGTCAATCCATCTCATCAAGGTTCTTCCTCTCCTGTGCTGTCCCTCTACCCTCCCAAGCATGATGTCCCTCTCCAAGAACTGGTCCCTCCTTGCAACATGTCCAAAGTATGTCAGACAAAGCTTCAGAATCCTTGCCTCCAAGGAGCAGCCTGGCTTCACCCTCTCTAGGATGAACCTGTTTGTTTTCTTAGCAGTCCATGGTATAGTCAATACTTTTCTCCAGTACCACAGCTCAAAGGCATCAATTCTCTTCTGTCATTTCTAGTCCAGCTCTCTGATGCATAGCAAGTGATTGCAAAGACCATGGCCTGTATCAGGTGCACCTCAGTCTCCAGACTGATGTCATTGCTCTGCAGTACTCCAGAGAGGTCTCCGACAGCAGACTTTCCCAATGCAGTGTGTCTTTTCATTTCCTGGCTGCTGGTGCCAAGAGTGTTGATTGTGGAGCCAAGCAAACTAAAGTTGTTTACAATCTCACTCTCTTCACTATCCATCATGATGCTGTCAATTGGCCCAGTAGTGTGAATCTTTGTTTTCTTGATATTTAGCTCCAATCCATATTGAAGGTTGCAGTCTTTAACTTTCTGCAGCAAGCACTTCAGGTCCTCCTCAGTTTCAGCAAGCAGGACTGTGTCATCTGCAGATTGCTGATGAGTCTGCCTCCAATCTTGATGCCACATTTCTCCTCATAGAGCCCAGCCTCCCGGATAATCTGTTCTGCATATAGATTGAAAAGGTATGGAGATAGGACACATCCCTGGTATACACCCTTCCAAATTTTGAACCATGCAGTGATCCCTTGTTCTGTTCTGACGACTGCTCAGCATACAAACTGGATTTGTATAAAGCAAGGATACAATCCTGATAGATACTTTTTCTGCTTTTAAATCACACAACATCCCCTTTTCTGTTCGACAACTGCTTTATGCTCTAGGTACAAGTTTCCCATGGGCATAGTTAAATGTTCTGAGTTCCCATTCTCATTGTCAGTCACAATTTACTATGCTCCCATAGTTGAATGTGTTTGCATAGTCAGTAAAACATAAAATCTTTCTAAAAAGTAAAAAAAAAAAATTTAAAAAAATCTGTGATTCTCTGCTTTAAGCCAAGATCCATCTGACATTAACAGTGATATAACCTTATTCCACAGCCCAGCCTCATTTGGATCCAGCTTGAATTTCTGGCAGTTCCTTGTCAATATACCATTCCAGCCACTTTTAAACTATGTTCAGGAATATTTTACCGTTCTTAGAGTGTGATATCAAGTTTGAACCAACTCAAAGGTAGCTCTCAAGTGGGTTTTCAGAGGCAGGGTGTCACATGGGAGGAATTACTCATCTTCCTCCTACAGACCAACAGGTTGACTCAATCCATTTGCCTTTAGGTTGGCAGTGCAGCTTGTTGCCACCAGGCCATCAGAGCTCCCTAAAATTTTACTAGCATATAACATAATTATTGTTCAATAATCTCCACATTCTGCTAAATTAATTTTTTTTTTAGAATGAGCATGAATGTGAATTTCTTCCAGTCAGGTGGCCAAGTAGCTGCCTTGCAAATTTCTTGGCATAGATTTAAGGAGTATGTCCACGGCTGCACCGGTTTACTAAAACACCTCAACTGATACTCTGTCTATTCCTGGAAACGCATTTATTGTCTGTACCTTCAATACAGAACTTCTTCCTTTACTACCACTGTTCTTGATCATATGCTACTTCCTGAGATGGTTCAGTGCTAATGTGTACAGTGACTCTGTTTTCTTTTGATGTTTCCTTGCCTACAGAATCTTTCCATATTACAACTGGAAGTTTTAATTTATTCTCCAGTTAAGTTTTAGGGATGCTTGTGCTCTTTCAATTTTCTAACTCCTGGTCTTTTCACCTTTATTTGTAACAATGTGCTTTGTCTTCTCATGCTATCCTTTTAAATATTCTGTTTAGCCCACTTACTTCATCATTTGCTTTAGCTTCTCTACCGTCAAGAACAAGGTTTAGAGTCTCTTCTGACATCTTTGGTTTTTTCGTTCCTGTCTTTTTGATGACCTTTTGCTTTATGTAAGATGTCCCCTGGCCCTGGTCTTTGGCAATAAATATTCTGTGCATCCAATCTGTTATTGAGATGGTTTTTAAATTCAGGTGGGATTTACTCAAGGTTATGTTTTGGCTCTCATGGGCTGGTTCTCATTTTCTCCAGTTTCAAGTTAAAATTCCATTATGAGTAATTGAAGGTCTGCTCCACAGTTGGTCCCTTGCCTTGTTCCTATTGCTAATATTGAGCTTTTCACTCTCTTTCCACAGACATAGTCAATTTGAATCCTATATATTCCATCATTAAGGTCCACATATAAAGTTGCTGTTCATGTTATTTTTAAAAAGGTATTTGCTACAAATACATCACTGACTGCACAAAATTCTAACATGCAATCACTAGTCTTAGTCTGTTTCCTTATTTTCCAACTACCAGTCTTGCTCCTTCATTTCTAATTTTGGCATTCCGATCACCAATCATTCTTAATACGTCTTGACTACATGTTTGACCAATTTAAAAATGCTAAAGTCAGAAAATTCCTCATTTTCTTCAGTTTTGGCTTTAGTGGTTGATACATGCATCAGAACACTAACAGATACCTGCAACCCTTCCTTGCACTACCTTCCTTGGACCTGTATGGCTTTTATACTATCACTGAGAGCAATGTGCTTCAAGATCATCCTGAAATGTTTTTCTGAATGATGAATATAAAACCATTCCTCTTTGTCATTCTGGTCACAGTGAATTATCATTGTCTGACTCAAAACAGCCAATACTGGCCCATTTTACTTTGCTGTAACGCCTAGGACATTGACCCTTGTGTGTTCCTTTTTTTTTTTGACAACTACCAATTCTCCTACATTCATACTTTGTACACTCCATGTTCCAATTATTAAAGGATGTTTGCAGACTCATTCTGAGTCTCACCACATCAGCAAATGCTTTCAGTGGGTGAAAGCTTTACTCCATCTGCATCATTAAGGCAGCCTCTACTTTTGAGAAGGCAGCTCTTCCCCAGTCACATTTTTAATTCTTTCCAACCTGAGGGGCACATCTTTTGGTACTGTATCAATACTGTTACTTCTAGGGGGGTTGATGGTCTCTTATTTCAGAATAGTCGATTCTGCTGCTTAGCCTGTCAGTCTGGAATCTCCACTGAGATGTATCCACCACAGGTGACCTTGATGGTGTTTGAAATACAGGTGGCACAGCTTCCAGCATCACAGCGGCACGCAAGCCACCACAGTAAAGCAAACTACCAGACAAATGGTGGCCACCACAGAGGCCCTGTGATTAAGAGCCAGAAGCCAAGCCTTACCCAAACTCTACATGACACGATGCTCTAGTCATCTATATACCTCAGCTTTCAGGGAAATGAATGGTGGTTCCAGAAGGCTTAGGCCACAGAACACAAACACAGGTTAACTGCATTTGCAGAGGGAAGATGGCAGTATCCTGGGGAGACGGGATCTGAACAGCTCCCTGGGACCACTTACTTCAATTGAGTCCTTCTTTTCCTCCTTTACAGCAAGCTTGGCCCGCTTGGGCCTCTCCTTCTTCTCAACCTCTTCCTCAGCTTCCTCCTCCTCAGGGATCCCAAAGCTGCGCTTCCGGCTAGGAGTAGCCTGGAGTGAGAGGAGAATGGGAACATGAGGGGGACCCTGCTCATACAGAGGCATGTACTTCCCTCCCTGCTACTACTCAGAAGTAAACTCCTAGCCGCTCAGTTCATGGAGCTAGCCCGGCTTCAAGGTACAGACTTGGGAAAATGCAAATTCACATTCCCCTTAGCAAACACGGTCAGTCAGGGGGGTGTCCTTGAACCACTAACCACTGCTGTAGCCCACCACAGCTGCCACTAGATTGCCTACTTACATCTACCATGAGTAGTCAGTGAGGTGACTCAAGTTTCCGGCAGATCACAATTTAAGTGAGGAGTGAAAGGCTGAATAGGTAGGGCACCACATTCTAATCAGAAACCAACTTGCTCTGGACTCCTGACCCAGACCCTTCAGGTGATTTCCACAGTTGCCCCAGCACCACTTGGACATGATGCAGTTCCATTCCCACACTCTTGGAGAGTGGCATCTCACCGGAGAGATTTTACTGGGTGGCTCTGGCTTCTTGACCACTGGAGTCTTAATGGCTCTGGGGACAGGGGTCTCTTGTGGGATCTTGCAGTTTGGCAGTAGAGACGGTGAAGGCGACTGCACCGGAAGGGTGGACGGGGGCCCAGCCCTGACGAGGGTATTAGCAGGCTTTCGGAGAACCCTGGTTGACTGCAGCAGCCTAGAGGTACCAGCCTCTTCCTGGGCTGCCAGGGAAGGAGGCTTCGAAGCAGTGATCACAGGAGCCTTCCGCAGCTGAATGGTTGGCCTAAGAGTTGGTGGAGGAGGGGGTCTGCTTGGGGCATTCTTGATCACAGCAGGTAAAGGAGGTGACCGGGGACGCTGTGGCCTGCGTGCAGGTTCCTAAAAAAGGCCCAGAGTGAGTGAGAACACTGTTGCTAGAACAAGACATCTGTGGAGAAAGTCTTCTGCCTAAGACTTACCTCGGGGGTGGGCCTAGTGGTCACTTCCAAGGGTAATTTCTTCAGGTCAGCCTGGGAGCGGATGGGTGTGGTTTTCTATAGGAAAAAATAAGATGATCAAGCTATCTGCATTTCTGGATGTACTCAAATAAACTCTTTTTAAAATACGCATTATGTGCCTGGGCATGTGGGGGCGGAATAAAATCCCAGGTCACAGGTGTACCTCCTATTCTTACTGAGGAGAGGAAATAATGCACACGCACTAAACCAACAGTGAGTTACACCACAGGTTCACTACAGGTAGGAAACGACCCAATAATACTTTTCTTTTTAAAATTAGATGATTAATTTGGAGAAGGGAAGACCTGTGAAGAAAAGCAATTCCTAGAAAAAGAGCCAGAAAAGATGGAAAAAGACTCTTCTTTGGGGGAGGCAACTTAGGTCAGGCCACACAGGACAAGTGAGAGTTCCTGGGCAGAAAGGTGTGCAGAGGCTATAGGGAGGAGGGGCAACTCCACTGAGACAGGAGCCAGGATGGAAAAAGTATCTGCACTGAATTATCATGAACGATGAACGGTTGAAACCACAAATCCTAAAAGTTGATAAATAGAAAAACAAAAAACACAAGAATTTAAAACAAAAAAGACAGGAAAAACACCTCATTTAAAAATGGAAAAGTTACAAGATGCCTATCCTTATCAAACTGGCAAGAACATTTTAAAACAACGTCAGTCTGGAGACTAAGGTACGCCTGATCCAGACCATAGTTTTAGCAGTTACTTTCTATGTATGAGAAAGCTGGACAATGACTAGGGATGCTAGAAAGAGAAGGGATGCCTTATGGAATTGTTTTCATGATATTGTATCATGGTACTGAATAAACCACGGACTGCTAGGAGAACAAACAAGTTCATCCTGGAGAGGATAAAACTGGGCTGCTGCTTGGGAGCAAGGATTCAGAAGCTTCATCTGACATAGTTTGGGCATTGTAAGGAGGGACCAGTCCTTGGAGGGACATGCGTGGAAGGGTGCAGGGACAGCCCAAGAGAGGAAGACTCTTGATGAGAGGGATTGATTCAGTAACTGGGGTAATGAGGGTAGGTGTGTCAGAGTCAATAAGGTTGGCTCAAGATAGAGCAGGTTTCAGGACTGTTGTACACAGGGTTATTTTGAATTGTAAGCAATTTGACGGCACATAACAACAACAACAACATTAGCATACACTGCTGATAAAACAGACGTGACTGCATCCTCTGGAGGGTGATGTGGGAATATGGATAAAAAGCTACAGAATTTTGCAAATTCTTTTACTCTTTTAATTTTACTTCCAGAAGATGATTTCAAGAAAACAATTATGTATAGTATGAGCTCTACATTTCTATGTATTTACACACATACAAAAGAAAGTGCATTTATACACATTGTATGAAAAGTCAGAAGAAAAAATAGCAAACGCTTTAATAGTAGATAGTGAGATCTAAGAATGTCTGATTTTCATTCTCTCTAGAGTTTGAAAACATTCTAAAGGAATCAAATCCCTTGTTAATACAAAATGTAAACAAGGTAAGTTTCTTTTTATAATGAGTAAGCAGACTGTACTTTTTAAATCCAAGTGGGTCCAGACCTGGAAGCTGGAGCTGGGAAGCTTTGGCAAACATTCATGGGTGATGGTGGGGAACCCGTGAGAATGAGGGAACCAGTAAGGGTTCTTTCACTGGGCAGACTGCAACAGCCTGGCTCCTAGCACTGACCTACATTCACATACCTGAAGGGCCTCCAACTTCTCTTGCTGCTGGCGAATTTTCTCCGTCAACTGCTTTTGCTTCTCTTCCTGTGTCTTCAGGTCCTTTCTGAACGTTCCCAGGGGAACCTTCTGCTTCTGCTCAGAAGCCTCACATCTGTAGAGGGAAGGTAGGGAGGTCATGGCAAAGCAGAACTGCACTTATCAATAACCTTCCCCCAAGATGCTGCTTACTGTTTCCTGCAAGGGCAACACAACCTCTGCAGAGTTCCCAACTGCATGAAATTGGTATTCAGTGAAGGAAATCCAGCTCTGGATTTCTTGGGCACCTACTAAGCTACTATGTACAACAAAATGAAGGTGTAAGCTTCGAGGCACTCACCTGATGCAGAGCAGTCAATGATTATCATTTACCCAAAGAGTCGAGAGAACACTGGGGGAGGGGGAGGTCCCGCAATTCAGAAAATACTCACTGGTCCTGCTCAGGATCAGGGTTCATGGAGCACACCCAGGTGTCAGGATAATCTTTCTCCACAGAACTCAGCTGGAAGGGGAGAGTCCGCCACTTCAGGCACAAATCTGTGGCACAAAAATCAATCCCCCAAGAAATGTCATCTCCATTCACATGTGATTCAGGCTTCTCAAGTAAAGGTCCACAGATTTTCTATTCAAAAGATCATCACTTCGGCTCCAACTCTGTCTTTATAGAACAGAGTGATTCCCACAAGAGGATAGAAACTTGAGGTTTTTATTACGGAGCTCTGGGATTCCTAATCCCTTGCCCCCATTCTAGCAGGATCTTGGCTCAATCATCCACTCGCAGTACAAACAATGTGGCACTTAAACTTAGTGAGGTCTGGGCAACTCCATAACCTCGTCTCTCTCACTTGGGAGTGATATGTAGCCACAGTACCAATCATGACCTCACAGGTCCAGCCCTGGTGGGACTGTGAGTCTACAGATGTCAATCACTGTCAGGAGGAAGAAGGAAGATCAAGGGTCATGGACTAGGATGAAAAAAACTCACTCACCACACTGGATAGTGGTCGGGATTTCCATAGCTCTCCGGCGTTTATAACGAAGCTCACTGGATGGGGGCTGGTTCCAGTTGGCAGACAGATAGCCAAACTCATCCCAGAACTTGATGATGCCACGCTGGGCTAGAAAGAACAACCAGAGCCAAAGAAGAATAGATGATTTGTACCAACTCTTACAGGCAGAGATAGATCGAACATGCAATCAAGATGCATTGATAGTAATGGGCGACTGAATGCAAAAGTTGGGAACAGGGAAGAAGAATCAGTAGTTGGAAAACATGG